TCTGCAGCATCCTGGGGACCCTTGAGCCCCTGGGCCCGAGAGATGGTGGCACACAGTGGGACTGCACAGCTCCACTCCTCTGCCTGACCTGGAGGGCTGGGTTTTATTTCTGTTTTCACCGTCAGCCTCTCTTTTCTGAAGCTGCATGCACCTCCTACGTCAAGCGGCGCTCGCCAAAACAAATGCACATCAGATCCATTTATTTGCACAGACACTCATAAAAACTTTACTAGACACCAAATAATTACAGGAAGGGGTGAACCTCCAACTCCGCCTTGCCGCAGCTTTTTGAAGTGGATTTAAGATAAAGATCAAATAGGACGGGCACTGGCCCCCCTCATGCCCAGAACCCCACCCCCCCACCCCCGCCCCAGCTATAGACCCCTTGGGGTGGAGACAAATGAACGCTCTGGTTTTTGTGAATTTGTGTCCAATTCATATAAAATGTCTTTCTGTGAGTTATTCTTAGCGTCCTAATGGGGCTTTTATGGCTCCAAATACGGTCCTTGGCTTCTCTTTGTTCTGGCTCAGGTCCTCTGCTGGGGAAGCCCCTGGTTCTAGTGGGTTGCTGAAATAACCCAGCCCATCCATTTGGCAAGAAATCCATAGATTCTTGAGGAAAGAGCCTGCTAAAAATAACTATAAGTGACACTTTGAGAGTCCCACACTGTGCTCTCAATGCAATGGGCTGAAGCCCCTGATTCTAATCTTTCCCAGAGAATCTTTCCAGGGTGGGACGAGGGGAGGAGGCTGAGCTGCTTGTGCTGGGGGCCTGGGCACTGCTGCTGCTGGTGGTGGTTGGGTGTGTCCTGTGCTCGGCCTGCATCTGGGCTTCACCTGCCCTGAAGGAAGGAACATGGTTGAGCTTAGGTCAGGTCTGTCCTAAGGCCCTAGCTGTAGGAGGTGGGGGCAGTTGTGATTTTCTTAAGCACCCCCCCCCTTTTTAAGCAAGAATCCCCATCCCTCCAATTATTCACCAAATATTTATGGCTGGGCCCTGGGCAAGTCCTTATACTTCATCCTCTCAGCTACTCTATGGGAGAGATGTTATCATTATGCCCATTTTACAGAGGAGAGCCCTGAGGCACAGAGGTGTGAACCTTTTCAGAGATTCCACATCGAGGACTTCCTGAGAGCCATTCCTGAACACACCTAACCACTGCCTGGTCAGAGGGAGGCCTCAGCCCTGGGCCACCCAGCCAGGGCAGTCATTCTCTGAACGTGGGGGCCAGGGAGATTGATCTGACACGGAGGAAGAATCCCATGACTAATGAGTCTGACCTTGTGTTGAAAAGTCCTGGGTCTGTGACTGGAGGGTGGGGGCGCCCTGCCAGGAGGGCAGAGGGACTTGGCTGGGCTGGACACGGCCCACACTGGGCACACACTCGGCATTCAGGGCCACACTGCCTCACCAGTGAGTTCCTGTCTCCCTGCTACCCTTTCCCCACACTCCAGCAGGGAAGGTGAGACCCAGCCCCAGTCCTGGGGCGGAAAGACCCTCTCAGAGGCTTCCCAGTCACTCGGTCCTATGGCCCTCCGCCTGGGCTCAGGGTCCCCGGGGCCCTACCATCCTCACAGGGAAGACAGGAAGACCAGGGACCCTTCACTGGGCTGTGGGAAAGCCAGGACAATGTTACTTTATGCTGCCAGACCCGACCCCCATGGCCGGGTCAAGCTCAGCTGGGATCTACAGGGGAGCTCCTTTGCAGCTAGCTCAGAAATTCCCAGCAGCTGAGGGGTCCTCACTGCACTTCCAGCACCCTCCCTTGTGGGTCAAATCCCCGGACTAGCACTCCTAACCTGGCCCCTGCGGAGCTGCGGCTCTCCCAAACAACCAAAGGTGCCCGGCAGCCAGGACAATCCGGTGGCCCTGGCTGTCCCCTGAGGGCAGAAACTAGAAGCTCCTGCTCCATCCCCGCCCATCCGCATGCCTCCAGCCGAGGTGCTGGGACTTTACGCGGGAGGGTCCTCTGGCTCCGCTCTGGGCTCTGGTCAGAATCACGATACCGCACCGAAATCACGACAGCCTGGGTCCGGCTCCCTGGGGAAAGCCCTACCAGCCGCTGCCTCCTAGCTCGCAGTACGCTCGCAGTACGCGGGTTTCGAGGAAGTGTGTGAGGAATTAAGAAGAGGAGCCAGGGGAACAGGGCAGGGCTCCGTGGGGAGGAGGTGTCTTGCAGACTGGGAAGAGACCAGTCTCCTTCCCAGCCTTCTTGTTTCTCAAGAGCGATTTCAAGTCGCTGATTCAGTTTTGGAGATAATCCCCAGCTGGTTCTGCCGCTGAAGTCCAAGCCAGAGAGCATCCCGGTCTGGTCTGACAGCACGAGGTGGTGCCAGGGGCCACTGGTGCGGTGGGTCACAGGGCACCGGGGTGGAATCCGCCAGTTCGCAAGAGCTCAGGGCTGGTCAGGCGGAGCCAGGTGTGGCTTGGCTCCCAACAGCAGGAGCTGGTTCTGGGCCTAGGCCCTATGCGGCCGCCTTGTTCTTGGGCAGGGGCAGTGATCCGGAGGCACAGGAGCTCTGGTGGTGCTCGGGAGAGAGACCTGGGGCCTCAGGGGGCGGTAAGCACAGGACCCGGAGGGCCACCTCAACTGGGGTGATGGGGAACACAGAGAGAGGGACAAGGGGCAAGGAACAGGGCCTACAGGAAGTGCATGGGGGTGAAGAGGCCACCTCGAGAGAAGATGTGCAGGGGGGGCCAGGTTGTACACTGAACAGAGAAGGGCCAGAGAAGGCAGCCTGGCTTCACCCAGTTGCAGGCGCTGGCAGCCTGTCCCAAGTGGCCGCTGGTGGCGTGGGCTGTGATTACAACAGGGACGCTGAGAGAAAAGCCAAGAATCTATGCGCCCGGCTGCGGCAGAGACTATCAGGGGTACTTCAGTGAAACCCTGCTTTCAGGCGCCATGAGGAGCCCCTGAACAATCGCCAGCCAGAGGGACAAGGAAGCCTGAAAAGCTTCCATTCAGCAGTGGGGGGCAGAGTGGGTGCACAGGAGAGGTGTGGAGGGGAAGGGCAGGGAACGGGACGGTGTGATAGAGAACGGGAAACAGGAGGGGGGTGGAACATTGCGCCGGGAGTCGAAGGGCCAGGGCCTATAACAGGAGAGGGCTCTCTGTGCGCCCTGGAGAGGGCCAGGGTCTGGCTCTGGTCCTGGAACAAGGCCAACAGGCGGTCGCCCAGCAGCGTTGCAGGGACAAACCATGGCCAGCAGAGGGCAGAATGCGCCCAGTCCACCCGCCCGCCCCGCGGCGGGGATCCGCGCCTGCAGGCTCTGCGTGCTGGAGTCTAGTTTGCCAGGCTTCTCCCGGCAGTGGAGCGCCCAGGCTCAGATGTCCGAAGGAGACCGCCCAGGCTCAGGCCAACCTCGGGGCTCATGACCTGGGGTTTCAAAGATTAAGCAAAGACAAGGGACCAAGGGCGTGTGCGGGAGAAGACGTGCAGAGGGGGCCAGTTGTACACTGAACATCTACTCCTGCATCCTCCAGGATACAGACACACAAAGATGCCGAGACATATAGAGAGACACAAAGCCACACACACACACACACACACACACACACACACTCACACACAGCCCTCTGGGAGACAGAATCATTCAGGAACTCGGAGTTAGGAGCACACATGTGACATGAAGATACACATAAGCAGAAAAACCTTCCATACACAATACAGGGGCTGAGACACACACAAAGACGTAGGCACCCACATAGAGTGACACAGACACACAGGGACACCAACAAAGACGTACCAAAGCACCTAAGACTCAGAAGCATGAAAGGATCTATAGATCCCACACACACACACATAAGGATCTAGTGTAATCAGAGTCGGATTCACACTTTTGGATCCCGAAAAGTGGCAAGGATACAAAAATATGTGCGCAGAGAAACGGGTGCACAAGTACGCAAGAACCTCAGGGGAGAGTGCCGACTCACACACACACACACAGAGATACCCACCAACACACACACAGGTACTGGGGTGGGAGCTCCTAATCCTTGACAAAGCCGGGCCCCTCCGCGGGGCCCCGCGGCACAAGGGGCCACTTCTGACCAAGCCTCCCGCAGGTTCCAAATCCGATCCGCCCTCTCGCCTCCAGCGGGGTCAGGGGACCCGCCCCCCATGCCCTCCGCCCCCGCCCCGCTCCGCGCCGCTGCTCCTCTCCGGGAGGGGCTCGGGCAGCCCTGCAGCGGCTCACCCAGCAGCCCGCGCCTGCCTCAGGGCTGCACCAGCCCTACTGTCCCTGGACTAGCAATGCGTTGGGGAGGACCCAGGGGCCACAGCCCGAGCATGACGCCCTGTGGCCCGACGCATTGACCTCCTGAGTCCAGAGCCGGTGCCAGGCCCGACGGGCGCGGGAGTCGTCAGCTAGGTCTAGCCGGGCTTTCGCTAGGAGATGTCTAGGCCCACTTGGCCGGTGCTGGCCAGGACACTGTCCCTGACCTGCCCAGCCTACCGACTCCTAACTGGGATCCTCGGCTGTCGCCAAAGGGTGCTTCTCTCAGTGTCCAACCTGATTTCCTTGGGGTGACCGAACACAAGTCATCCCGTGCCTTTATCTCTAGACCTTGGGGCCACCACTCCCTACCCGCATCTTACACGCCAAACCCTGCGTGGAGGCCCAGCTCCAGCCCAGGGTCCCCGCCCCTGCCCTCGTCCCCTTTCCCATCCTCAATCATCATCTAAACTCTTCGCCTGAACCCGGGCCTGACCTTCCTCGCCTACCCAATGTCCTGCATTCTCGATCTCGGGGCCCCAATCCCTCCTTCGGCTCGCTCCTCCATCCGATCTCTGCCAGCATGAAGCTTTCTCGACTCCCCACCCGAAACCCGGTCCCCGCTCCCTCCCAGGGCCGGGCCTCCCTTAGGCGAGGCCGAAGCCAGCAGTCTTCTTCTGCTCGCCTCGGTCCTTCAATCCCGGCAGCCAGCCCTCTCAGCGAACCGAGGTGTGTGGGCACCCGCCGCCGCCCAGGAGACGCCAGCTTAGCCCCTGCGACCTACCTCTGCCGACCGTCGGAGTCCCCGGGCGGCCGCTGCCGGCTGGCGCCGTACCCGGGAGGAGCCGCTGCGCTCCCCGCCGTCCGCGCAGTCTGGCCTTGCTCGGGGCCACTCCTCTTAGCACTGAAGCTTTACAAAATATTAATAATAAAGAAGGAAAGGAAGAAAAAAAGAAAGCCTCCATTTCCCAACTCCCAAATCAATTTTCCAAGGAGGTGGGGCAGAGGATTGTTTCAAAGGCGACCCAATTCTCTTCGAGGGACCATCAGGGCGACCGGACGGACAGGGAAGCCGGGGCCGGAGCTCGGGGCCAGGCGCAGCGCGGGACACTGGCTGGGGGC